GCAAAAAAATTTCAGCTATTAAGCAACCATCTGCTTTAGAGCTTAAGTCACTCCCTTCAAATTTCAAATATGTCTTTTTAGAATTTGAAGAAAATTTTCATGTGATAATTTTATTCAAACTTGAATCTGAACATGAACAAAAAGTGTTGCAGGTATTAAAGAAACATAACAAGGCAATTGGATAGACCTTGAGTGACATTTGTGGTATTAGTCCATCCATGGGTATGTATAGAATCTTACTTGAGGATGGAGAAAAATTAGTTAGGCAGCCCCAAAGGTAGCTTAGCCCTTTGATTTTAGATGTTGTGAAAATTGAGATCTATACTGCACCAAAGGACAAAGAGAATACCACTTTCACTTGTCCATTCAATACTTTACCCATTGAAGAATGTTCTTTGATCTAGGAATAAAAAGTGAAGGTACTAATAAAAGTTTCAAAGTCAATGGAGACCGCCTTAAGCTATTCCATGAGAACTACAAATCGGAAGAGGAAACTGTCTAAGAGCTCTCATTGAGAAAGGTTACTTATACAGTCATATATCCGCCTTGACTCATTGGGTGTGTTATTTCCTCTTTCTCCTCTCTCTTATTTTATGCTTATTTATTTCATTGAAGACAACGTGTACTTCAAGTATGGAGAGAGATGTCATTTACTTTTCTTGTTTTGTTCTCTTCATTTACTTTTGTTATTTTATTTTCTTTTAAAAAACAATTATGCATGCTTTTTCTTTAGTCTTTAGGGTTATGTTGTGTAAGTAATTTCTCTCTTCTCTTGACTAAAGACTCGTGGTGTAATGTGAGTGATTTTCTTTGCTTTCTTCTTAGTATGATAACTAGGACTAAATTATGAATTGTGCATCATTTGTGCTAGATCATTAACCTATGTAAGATTTTGAGCATAATAATGGACAACATTAAAAAAAATCCATCTATTTCTTTCTTGTTGATTTCACTCATGTCTGTTAGTCTCTAGAACTTGATCTGACTCTTTTTGAAACTGTTTGATTACTTATACACATTGATATGATAAATGTAAGTTGTTTCTTTTATTTTTAGCCAGCTAGCCAAAAAGCCAACCTTCAAAATAATATCCCTTGTTTGAAACCCTTTTGAGCCTATTTATCCCATTATTTGGTCGAAACTCATTAAAATCCTAAAAATGAAAAACAATGATATCATTATCTTTAAGGGAATGAATGAGTCTTGTTTGGAGTTGTATGAAGTTGAGTTAGCATAGGTTTGATGTTTCATTGGCATAAAAAAAAAAGAAAAAAAATAGAAATAGAAAGAAAAGAAAAGAAAAATAGGCAGAATATTCATGTTCTTATCATATTCCTTCAAAAAAAGAATGAAAAGAAAAAGAAAAAAAAAAGAAAGAGAAAAATAAAAAGCACAGAGAAGAGAAATTGACAGCAAGAAGTGATATTGATAGAAAGTGAATAAAATACTGTTTAGTTCAACTCCTGCAATTCCTTTCAATTCTCTTTTCTCCCTTTAAATTTTAGCCTAGTACCCCTTAGGATTTATCTCACTCATATCTTGGCCATGTTACAATCTGAATAAAGTTCTTTTGATCTTTGTGTGCGTGTATTTCAAGTGTAGATGTTAGAGTCTTTTCAAGCTTATGGCGGTGCTAACTTTCATGATGTGCTTTGAGTGTAAACAAATGACCTAAACACTTGAGAGTGAAAGAATATTTATATCCTGTAAGGATCTTGTCACTTCTGATGTATTCTTTGGTAAATTATCATCTAATTTTCTTTGATTGACCCAATTTGATCGCTAGTGCTTCTTCTACGAGAGATCCTGCAAAACTCATTATTCTGTTGCTTGCAGCCAGGACCAATTTCCTATCATGATCTCTTATAACGTACCCCATTGCCACAAAACCATTTGGAAAATAACTTGCATCCACATGAATATAGTGGAACCTAGAGTCACAGTAGAGGGGTTCTCATGTAACAACTAGTTTCTTCATATATTTCAATCCCAAATTAGCTTTATTTAATTCCAAAATATATTCCACCACACTAAAAACAACCACATCAAGGGAAGAAGAATCATTTTTAAACACCTTTTGATTTCTAGCGTTCCATATTGCCTAGAGAGTGGTGCATAACAATTGAATCATGTAAGTCTCTTCCAAATCCAAACGATTTTCAAGTCAATGTATAATATCTGAAGTGTATGGTGTTCGATGGCCAAGTGGGGACACAAACCACATAGATTTTGCAAAAACACAGTCCATAAAAAGATGGGGAGTCAGTTCAGGATGTTGTTGACAAAACATGCAAAGGATATTGAGACACATACCTTTCTTCTCCAAGTTTCACCTCGTTGGAGGGATGTTTTCCCCAATCACTAGATGAAATTCCTGATTCACACTTGCATTGGAATTTTCCAAATATTTTTCCACAAGCTTGAAAATGGTAGACTCAAGGTGCCTTCTTTCAAAGCTGCACGGTTTACTCTCAGCAAGTGATACGATAATCTAACAATATACTTCCCATCATTCTCTTTGTGCCATATCAAATTATCCTCAAGATTTCTAAGGGATAGGAGGATACTAATAACTTGTCTAGCTTCTGATGGATCAAAACAGAGGTTCACGAAATCAAATTTCCATAGGCTTATCTCATGGTCAATCAGATCCTCTACTTCTGCATCTTTGTCTAGTCCCGTACGGGCACTAAGAACTTTAAAGCTAGGGGTATCCGACAACCAATTGTCTTCCCAAATGTGAACCTTTGTGCCATCACCTATAATCCATCTCGAACCTTTCGTGATCAAATCTTTAGAACTCCACACACTACACCAGGAAAAGCTAGATGCATATCCCACTTGCACCTCATGGACACAACAATTTGGATAATACCTGCTTTTCCAGTCATTGCTTATTAGTGAGGATTCATCATTTTGAAGCCACCATAAGTGTTTTCCCCAATAGACTTAAATTGAAATCAAAAACACCTCTAAATTCCATTCCTCATATGCCTTTTGCATATGCAAGGTTGTCCCACGACATCCAAGCATCTTACTCTCCCCTTTTAACTCCCCACAAAAACCTCACCATCAGACCTTTATTTTTCTTACAAACACCTTCTGGGAACTTAAAACAGCTCATGATATAACTCGACATGGCTTGTGCAACTACTTTGATTAACACTTCCTTTCATTCCCTAGATAAGTAACTTTCCTTCCACCCTTTCATCTTCTTCCAAATGCGTTCTATGACAAAAGAAAACACCTCCTTTTTTATTTCCCTAAGGCAACTGACAGACCCAGATATCTCGAGTGACCAAAGATTGTCTTTACTCCCATCCTGATACGAATCATCTCTTTGACTTTATCCCGCACATTTTAAATGAATGAGGCTTCTGACTTGTCAAGATTCACCATCTACCCCGAAGATTTTTGATAGGTTAAAAGGGTTTCCATAACTTTTCTTACTTCCATCATGTTGGCCTTTAAAAATAGAAGGTTGTCGTCCGCGAAAAACAAATGAGAAATATTTGGAGCTCTTCGCGCCACCTTGATCCCATGAGTGTTTCCAGAGATGGACTTCTTCTACAACAAGCTAGAAATGACATCTACACATAAAACAAATAGGTAAAGGGAGAGGAAATCTTCTTGTCGGAGTCCCCTTTTCGAGAAAAACTTTTGGCCCGAGTGCCCATTGAGAAGGACTTGGTACAACACTAAGGATATACATCTTCTGATCAACTTGACCCTTCTTTATGGGAATCCCATAGCTTCTAACACACAAAAAAATCATTTTAAAAGTAGTATTAATCGAAGGATACAAATGGAAGAAAAAAATTATAGTTACATTAGAAATAAAAAACACACTTATTTTGAAACAAAAATTTTATTAAAATGTGACATTTATTTTAGAATAGTAGTTTTTTTTAAAATAAATTTCTAGTTGTTAAAAAGTTATTTTGCTTTTACCATTAGGATTTGTTAAACGTGGGACTAATGATTTTTTTTTTTTTTTTAAGTTTTCACTTATTTAAATTTATATTTAACTATATTTTAAATCAATAAATTATCATTCAAGTCTGCACTAAAATATACTTACGTTTATAGCAATTTAAAATAGTAATATTGGGAAATAAATTAAATCCAAATAATGTAACATCCAGTTATAGTTTGATGAATGCATAAACCACCTTACAATTAGAGGTAAAAATCATATAAAAAAATGTAATTATGCTAATCCCGTTTAGTGAAAGAAACCATTTTATAGACATAATCATATATCATTATTTTAAATTAGGATCGTACTTCGATCACTTCTAATGTAAAGTGATAATATCAATAATTGATAAAAAAAATTAAATAAAAGATACTAGATGTGGATGCATTAACATAAATTGTTTAAGAATAATAAGAAATATTTTTTCACTTTATTATTTACTCAATTAGACAAAGGAAATCTTAAAAAACCATATAAATTTTAAAGAGGTTAATTAATAATTTGATCTTTATTTGATTGATCTATAGTACCTACTTATCAATATTAAGACATTTTTATATTTTTGCAAACAATGTGATTTATTTTCTTTTATGGGTTTGTTCTGCATAATAATAATGAATATAATTGTTAAATTTCCATTACAAGCACAAAGCTTTCATAGCTCAGTTGGTTAGAGCACCCGTTTAGTAAGCGGGAGGTCATGAGTTCAACTCTCATTGAAAGCATAAATTTTGTTATATCTCAATTTTTTCATGTTTTCTATTGTTCTTTTGTCTTGCTTTCTTTGTGTAGCTTCAGAAACAGAGGGATGTCTTACTTTCTTTGATGCTGTGAATTTAGTGATTATTTTTATGTAACATTCCAATTCAAAATAACGGTCTATCTAACACTCAATCTATTGAAAACTTGTACTATTTATTGATGATAACAAACAATTATATTACATGAGAAATTAATCTCTCTTTCTTAAGTCTTAAAGCAGTGCAGAAAATTTAAAACAATCTCATTCTCATTCAAGTTACTATGATTTGATTGAGACAAGAGGAGGAGGAAGTAACTCAAGGTATGTTTTACTTTTTTCACCAAAACTACCTATGCACTTTGTGTCACCTCTGCCATGCCAAGTACCATCTTGTACATTGTTCATCTCCAATGTTCTAGACTCCTGCATCATCATATTAATACAAAAACAAAAAAATCAATACTAAGAAAAAGTACTCCAATTATTTTATCCACAAATTGAATTTGGAAAATGACCTGAGATAATGTACAACAAGGACATGCAAAATGGTAAGCACAATCATCCAAGGAACTTTCGCTATCCTGAAATAAGTTCCAATATACATTAGTTGGTGAAAACATATAACAAAGTCTCTGTAGAAGAAAGAAAAATACACACCTTGATGTTGAATTTCTTTCTCATAAGTGTGCGGAAGAATCCTAAATATGCACCAACAAAAATAATGAAAAAAATGAAAATATAGAGAAAGCAGCGATGTCTCGTGACAGCATAGGCAATGAAGTTCACAAAAGCACCCATTGCAAGAATCACGTAAATTGCCGTCTGCAAAATAAAACAAAGAAACTTCAAATTTCATCATAACAAATATTTGAGTCATCTTTGACTAAATTTCAATGAACAATAGTATATATTATATATATATATACCTGAATGTAACAGGAACCAAAACCAGCTCTCTTCATGTTCTTCCCAAATCGATAGCAAGGACAACTATAATATAACACCAAAAAAATGTTTAATGTTTATCATCACAAAAACAATATAATGAAAAATGGCCCACAAAATTGCTTACAAGGTGGATTCAATAGCAATGCGACGATGATCAAAGCAATCAAAAAGTTCACCTTCCCACATCCTCAAAACCCCACCAAAAACCCCATTCTCTTCTTCTTCTTCCTCCATGGTTCCTAGATTCCCCCATTTTCCTTGAGAAGCTTTCAAAGCCACAGAGGAACACAATACATCAAAATCCAAAACTGCAACGTTTTCCAGCAATTTCTCTTCCTCTTCTACCTTTCTCTCTTGTTTCTCCAAATCTCCCATTACAATTAAACTTCAATATCCTTCTTTGAGTGTTCAATGCACCTTTCGGAGATTTGCTTATAGGATTGTAGATTATGGGAAAGTACATACAAGAATATATATCTATATATAAAAGAAGATAAGATAACGACGATTCTTTTGTTGTTGGAGGTGTAGGTGTGTGTGACAAATTCATGAATATTTTGGTTATTGTGGGACCTATTATGACTCTATTATAAGGGATGTAACTGTTGCCATGTGTAACCATACTTTTTATTTCTATGAATAATATTATTATTATTTGGTAAATTATTTTCTTTTTGACTGAATCATTCTAATATATTTATTATTATCTCCACAATAATTGAGAAACTAATTATACTTTATTTTTACCTTTTATAGTGGGTATACTAATATTTAAAAATTTATTTTAGCTTTGTTTTCCAAAAGTTATTTTAATTAGAAATTAATTTTATAGTAAGTTGTTAGTAGTCAAAGAGTCAACAGAATGGGTAATAATAAATAAATAAAAGACCTAAAGAAGGGAAGTTGATTGTTATCCACAAAATATTAGAGCTACCTGTGCTGTGGCCGGTGGCTATATTCCCTTTGCCTTATCTCAAAATTGGTTATTATTGGCTATTGCTTTTCTTTTTGGTGAGAAAAGGTTGACACTTGAATGAGATATAAAATTGTGATATATTTTTACAATATTTCTTTTAAATAATATTTTTATAAAGGCTATTTATTGGTGCCCTTGCTTCTCAATTTAGTGGTTGTAGGGTCTATTTAGAGAGTACAAAGGTAATTTAATTTTTGGTTTTGTTCAGCCAATTAGGATTGTCAACTCCTTATATGATGAATTCTCTGTGTTAAAGAGCAATTAAAATTGATAGAGATAAAATATGGTTTAAGACTTTAAGCTCTGAATTGATAGAGAGTGGCACTCTTGTGGTAGTCCAAGTTTTTTCAAAAGATTTTTTTTTTTATTCTTTGACAACTAAAAGTAGATGGTTATATTGTAAAAACATAATTACAAATATGTCTTTTGATATTACTCATATTTACGGGCAAGAAAACATATGTATGGATTTTTTTCTAGTTTAGCTGCGAATATTAAAATTTAATTTTTTTTAGGTTAATACCCTATTATATAGGTTAATTATGGTTTACTTCAAATAATATTTTTTTTTTAAATTAACCTTGTCTTATAAAGATTGTGTTGTTTTAAACTCTATAAAATTTTATTTTTTTTAAATTAATCTTACTTTACCAAGATTTTATTATTTTAAACTTTATAAAATTATTTATTTGGTAAAACTAACATTGTTATTTTCATACAATGTTAGTTTTACAAAAAAAAAAACAACAATTTCACACGATCTAAACTAACATAATCTAGACTAGTTTTACAAAAACCAATTTTAGAGGGTCTAAAACAATATAATATTTATATAGTAAGATGAGTTTTAAAAAAAAAATAGGAGGGGTAAACTAGAGTTAGCCTATATGGCAGGGGTAAAATGATATTAACTCAACTTTTCTTTTACTCCATTTCTATGAAAATTAAAAGTGGTTTTGTAAAAAAAAAAGGTTTGATTTGCTTTTTTTAAGATTTGTATTCTTTTGAGAGGATCTTGGTTTAATCCCATCTCTTTTTGGTGTATAACACTTTCTTTTTTATTATATAACATTTCTTAAAAATGTGTGGTTAGGCATGACTCAACCCTATAAAATCGGCTTGTAGGACGAGGATTTCCCCACTTATAAGCACATGTTCATACTATATAGTGTCTGATGTGGGACTCTTAAAACCCCCTTTCACACCCAAGATTGAACGTCTAGAGCGTGAGACTAAATGGTGGTGACCCGATAGTAGGTGGTCCAATGGATCTTAAATCATACTCTGATACCATCTAAAGAATGTGTGATATTAAGATATGTGGTTGAGCTTAAGTTAACCCTACAAAATCGGCTTGTAAGGTGAGGAATGTCCCTACTTATAAGCACATGTTAAGGTAATATATTATCCGATGTGGAACTCTTAACACCCCCATCGTGACAAGATTTACGTATGGAGCGTGGAACTGAACGGGGGTAGCCCAATGAATCTTAAACGAGGCTCTAATACCATCTTTAAAATGTGTGTTTGGCCATAACTCATCCTACAAAACCGGCTTGTCTAGTAAGGATTGAACCCACTTATAAACACATGTTCAAGTCATAGATTGTTCGACCTGAGACACTTAGAACCCCCTCTCACATCCAGGATTTGCGTATGGATCGTGGAACTGAATGGTGGATGGACTAATAGATCTTAAACTAAGCTTTGATAACATCTTAAAATATTTGGTTACGCCTAACTCAACCCTATAAAACCGGATTGTAAGGTGAGAATTATTGGAAAAAAATTGGTTTGTCCCATATCCCTTGTGTTTTAATGATAACAATGTATTTAAAGAACAATAGGGTATACTAATGTTTGTTCAAGTGTGCAAGACAATTGACTAAAATCTATATTAAATACAAGCATTGGTTATGACTCTAAGCATTCAAAGAGAAGCATGAAAATCATATTTTAATGTATCGGAAGCTGAAGAACTGACTTTGAAAAAGTCATCTTTCAAAGAGGTCAACATTGAAAGATCAGACTCTGAATGAGTTAGCCTCTGAAGAACAGACTTTGGAGAAGTATCTTCTGGTTATCAGAACCTGAACTAGTCAAAGCGCAAAGACCAAGGTGACACTGACGGGTCAATGTTCATCTCTGAACATACTTTATCACGTGATAACCTAAAGCTCTAGGTTCTTCATAGAGTCTGCTAGGATACAACTACTAATTCCTTTTGCAACAAATGTTATTCAAACTAGGTTTCACCTAACCTGGCAGTTTGGTGAAACATCTCATTGTCTCCCAACGTCTATTTTGAAGCTTCTCAAAGGACTCAACGGTTGCATCTTTAAATATTCTTTTCCTCATTATTTAAGGAACTAAAAAGATTTAAAGATCAACAAAAATACAACAACATAATATACAAGAGCGCAACAGAAAGGAATACATGTTGTACATGCTAATACACAAAGATTTAAAATCAAAGAGAAGCTACTTCGTCAAAGGTTTATCACAAGCTAAACTTAGGATTTCTTATCCTTGAATATCTTAGAAATACTTAAGTCTTAAAAGAGTCCTACTGTGTTGTATTATTAATAAACCTCTGATTGTATATCAAGTGTATTCACCCAATAATCATTTATTTGCTAGGTAAATTGTTAGAAGTCTCTTACTAAGTGTTTGAGCAAGGAAGCCTTTAGCTTGTGTGCTAAAGCAAGTAAGTCTTGAGCTTGTGTGCTTGAGCAAGAAAGTTTTTAGCTTGTGTGCTAAAGCAAGGAAGTCTTAAGCTTGTGTGCTTGAGCAAGAAAGTATTTATCTTATGTGCTAAAGTAAGGAAGTATTGAGCTTGTGTGCTTGAGCAAGGAAGTCTTTAGCTTATGGGATTGAGAAGGGAGTCTTGAGCTTGTGTTCTTGAGCAAGGAAGTCTTGAGCTTGTGCGCTTGAGCAAAGAAGTCTCAGACTTGTGTGCTTGAACAAGGAAGTTTTATACTTGTATGTGTAAGCAAATAAGTCTCTTGCTTGTGTGCTCGAGTAAATTATAATCTTGATTGGTTATGGCGAAAATCTCTTGTAAGTACAATGGGATTAGACCGCTCTCAATTTGTGAGAGGAACTAGGATAACTCTATGTGTTGTTTATTCTTTCTTGCACTTTATATTCGCTGCCTATATCTAACTAACTCATATTATATAACATTGAGTTTAGAATATGACTTACGAGTTTTAAGAGAAAGAAATAATCAACATAATTCAACCCCTCTTCTTGTGTTTTTCTCACCTTCAGTTGGCATCAAAGCATGGTCTGAGTTTAACACTTAACATTGGTAAGGAAAAGATTAAGAGAAAAACATATTAACGTATGTCTGTTGTTTCTGAATCTGGGGGTGGTACTCATACTCTGCGTGTTGCTATAAATCATGATTATAGCAATCCAGAAAAGAACAACTATACAGTTAGACCGTTAACTTTCAATGGAGACTCTACTTTGTTTGAATGGTGGAAGAGCATGATGTATGCTTATATTATAGGCCTTGATGATGGGTTGTGGTATATTATATAAGATGACATTGATATTCTAGTCAATGGAGTTGGAATGACGTCTGATAGAAAAACTCTCATTCCAGCACACAAAAAAGGTCTACAAAAAACATCATAGAGTTAGAGGTATCTTGGTTGATGCTCTACCTCATTCAGAGTACATCGAAATTATTGACAAATATACTGCTAAGACCATTTTCAATTCCTTATGTGCTACTTATGAAGGGAATCAATAAGTTTAGGAAGCTAAGGCTAATGTTCTGATTCAACACTATGATCTGTTCAGAATGAAGGATGATGAAGACATTGAAACCATGTTCTCTAGGTTTCAAGTTTTTTTTATTTGGACTTTAGGTTCTGAACAAGAGTTATACTATGTTTGATCATGTAAAGAATATTATTAGGATTCTTCCTATCAGATATAGACCTAAGTTTACAGCTATTCAGGAGGCTAAAGAGTTAAAAACATTAAGTCTTAAAAGTATCATAAGTAATCTTTAGAGCCATGAGATAGAGCTCAATGAATATTAACCTGTTAGAAGGGAAAAGCCTCTTGATTTGAAATATGTTTCTAAAACTACTATGGCTCATCATGTCTGGGAGTCCGAAGAAACTTCAGAAGCAGAAGATTTTGAAGATGACTCAGATGATGAGGAAATGACCTTCATCATTAGAAGATTTCAGCATTTGTCCAGGAAGAACAAAAGATTCTTTGGCAAAACCAGTGTCTTCGAACGATCTGACTCTAGAGTAAAGAAACATGATCATAAAAAATGCTTCAACTGTAAGAATCTAGGTTACTTCATTGCTGAATATCCTGAAATATAAAACAACAAGCCAAAGAAGGGAGGCTTTTAGAAGGATAGATTCAA